ATTGGAAAAGGCCATTTCAAGCAAATGGAAGACTTAGCAACAGCAAGTACCATGGCATGTTTTAACAAATATGGAAAATACTAACTTTGATATGTCTACATCATAGAATGTATCTGCTAGGCAGAAAGGGTAAAGAATGAGAGATGAAGTTGGAAGGCAGTTTGAAAAGAGGCCTCTAAGATACCCAAAATAGTCAAATTATATCCCATTTAAAGTTTTGAAGACAAGAAGGAGCACTGTCAGCTTTGTGTTCTAGAACAATAATCTTGGCAGTGGTATGGAGGATGACTAAAAAGGGATTAGTTACACAACAGTTTGCTATATTGGCTCTTGTTGCCTTGTGGCAGCAAGCTATTACATTTTCAGGAATTCTGTAAGCCAGCTGACATCACATGTGCATATCTTAAAATTGACCAGGGGGAGGGTATTTACACTATGGAAATAGGCAGATACTATAAAATAAGGACCTTTTCTATTTTCCCAGAAAGTTGATTTACTACTGCGATAGATAACCGGTATGCCACCCATAAAGTAGAGCCACAAAGTACAGTAAAGTACAGTACTATGATAATAGCCCAAGTGACATAAGGAAGGCATAAATGATAGTGTCACTAAGAATGTCAAGGAAGTGATAAGAGTAACAAATAATTAGATAAACACACTGTTTAGGACTTAGTGAAAAGCTGAAAATGGGCTATTAGATGCAGCAAATCAAGGATGATTTCCAAGTTTCTTGATTAAGTAACTGAAATAGGGAATTCAGTTTTGCATTAAGCTAGACCACTAGATATTAAATATGCAAAGATGAACATAAACAAACACCAGCCGCCAAGGAATTCATAATCTACATAAGGAACACGCAGGCTTTACCTACCTACATATAATAAATGGAAACAGAATCTACCAGAGGAAAAAATCAGGAGAGAGAAGTAGAAGAAAAAAATCTACTTCATTTTTTTATATGTAGAACTTGTACTATTTGTTTATGTGTAGGTTTTCATATGTAGAACTGGTACTGCTTGTTCACTATTAAGACAGAAATTCCAGTACACATTTGAAAATGTAGTTCTATAATTCAGAAGATGGCTAACAAAAAGAGTAGATGATTTATGAAAAAATTTTTGAATGCACAAAAATAAAAAATAAACAGGGAAATAGGGGAAATAGGCTTTAGAAGCAGGTGCGGGGGACACCAAAAATTCGGAGATGGATAAAGGAAATAATATAAATCAGAGACTAAAGAATGCTCAGGAAAAAAGGAAGAGAAACATGAAAGACTTGAAAGAAACATGAAAGATCAAAGACTTAGGAGTTAGATCAGAAACAATGCAACTGCTAGATGAAAACACAGGGTCAGGCTGGGGATGTGGCTCAAGCGGTAGCGCGCTCACCTGGCATGCACGGGTCGCTGGGTTCGATCCTCAGCACCGTATAAAAATAAAATAAAGAAAACTAAAAAAAAAAATAAATATTAAAAAATTCCCTCTCTCTCTCTCTCTCTCTCTCTTTTCAAAAAAAAAACAGGGTCAACAATCCATCATAAAGTGGCAAGCACTGACTTCCTTAACAAGATGCCTAAAGCTCAAGAAATAAAAACAAGAATCAATAAATGGGATGCCATCAAATTAAAAAGCTTATGCACAGCAAAGGAAATTATTAAGAAAAGAGAGCCTATGGAATGGGAAAAAATCTTTGCCAGCTACTCCTCTAACAGGGGATTATATCCAGAAGAGATAAAGAACTTAAAAAAAACTCAATTCCAGAAAACCAAATAACCCAATCAATAAATGGGCAAAAGAATAAACAGAAATTCTCTCTCTCCCTCCCTCTCTTTCTCTTGCTTTTTGTTTACTTGGTTGGGTTTGTTGGTTTTTATTTTTTATTTATTTTTAATTTTTTGGTACCGGGACTTGAACCCAGATGCACTTTAACACTAAGCCATATCCCCAGGCCATTATTTTTATTTTTTACTTTTTTATTTGGAAACAGCATCTCACTAAGTTGCTCAGGGCCTTAGTTGCTGAGACTGGCCTCAAACTTGCAATTCTCCTGCCTAGCCTCCTGAGTTGATGGGATTACAGGCGTGCGCCACCATGCCAGCCAGAAATTTCTCAAAAGAAACACAAATGGCCAACAATATATGAAAAAAAAATGTTCAACATCTGTAGTAATCAAAGAAATGCAAACCAAAACTACAATAAGATTTTATCTCACTCTATTCAGATCAAGAATGATCTGAATGGATCATGAACACAAAAGATCAAGAACATATATCATAGTAAAAGCTGACAAAAATGTAAGGGGAAAGATACACTCATACATTGCTGGTGGGACTGCAAATTAGTACAACCACTTGAAAAGTAGTATGGCCATTCCTCAAAAAAATCAGGAATGGAACTACCATATGACCCAGCTAACCCACTCCTTAATATTTATCCAAAAGAACTAAAATCAACATATTACAGCGATATAGTCACTACAGTATTTATAGCAGCACCATTCACAATAGCCAGATTATAGAATCAGCCCAAATGCCTGTTGAAGAAAATGTGGAATATATACACAATCAAGTTTTATTCATCCATAAAAAAGAATGAAATCATAGCATTTGTCAGTAAATGGATGGAAATTGAGAACATCATGCTAAATGAAATAAGCCAGACTCAGAAAATCAAAGGTGGAATGTTTCCTCTGGTATGGGGAAACTAGAACAAAGTAAAGGAAAGACAGTTGTTGGGGGACAGGGGTGTTCAGATATCATAAATATATAGGGAAAATCACTAGAAGAGAAGGAAGAGAACAAGAAGAAGGGAGAAATTATGGGAATAGGAAAGAAGGAATGAATATAACGAAATAATGTTATATGCATATCTAAATGTACCAAAGGGAATTTCACCTTTATGTATATGTAGAAAGTACCAATCAAAAATAAATCAAGTAATGAAAGGAAGATCATTTGAGTAGAAGAGGGAGAATAGGGGAGGAAGTGGGTGACCAAAGGGAGGAAAGAATGGGGATTAAAATCAAATTTCTTGCTTGTATGATTTTTTCCAAAATGAACTCACTGCTATGTATAATTACAATGTCTGATTTAAAAAATAAAACATATGTAATCCTGGGAAAAAAAACAACAACTAATCCTAGAAAGGTTTTTCTGGACACTGCCTGACCAATCCCTAACCTCTAGTTATCATCCTCTGAACTAATGGTTTACTTTGTACACAGTTCTAATACTACTATTACAACACTATTATAATACTTACTTTTAGAGCTCAACAAGATTATTAACTTTTTAAATTTTTTTTTCGTTGTAGATGGATACAACACCTTTATTTTATTTGTTCATTTTTTAATGTGGTACCGGGGATTGAACTCAGAGCCTCATGCGTGCTAGGCAAGCGCTCTACCACTGAGCCACAACCCCCGGCCCATTCTCCCCTACTAGATGGTGAGCTACTTGAGAATAAAAAAATGGAGACAGTTAGTCTCACAAGAGTTCAAAACTTGGTTAAATTGAATTTCAATTAAAAAACAAAGATGTATTAGACAGGGAACCTAACCTAAAGGATTCAACACAATCTAGTCCTGAAAATATCCTTAATTTTGACAAAAAAAAAGTATATAGATTGTCATGAAAAGTCAACAAAAATACTCAACAGAAAAAAACAATTTAGAACTTTTAACCTTTTATAATACACTTACAGGAATGTTCAATTTAAAAAAATCTTTCTGCACCTACTGTATGTAAGATAGGGCTATTAACATTGTGGAGTTAAAAAAGGATTTTACGGAGGGCGTGGTGGTGCACACCAGCGACTACATCTCAAAAAGTAACAAAGGGATGGGGGCTGAGTATATGTGCTCAGTGGTAAAGGGCCCCTGGGTTCAATCCCCAGTACCAAGAAAAAAAAAAGAGGGCGTAGGGGTTTACAATAGAGCAGAAGAGATTAAGGTAAGCATAAAATGATTTTAATACAATAGTGTTTTCCCTAATGGATTTTATATAGTGTTTATATAGTGTTATATAGTGTTTTCCCTAATGGATTTTATATCCATTAGGGAAAACACTAAGAAACTTATGTTTACCCTCACAAATCTGAACTTTATTCTGAATGATGAGACTCAGCACGTTAACTGGACTACAACTGAATGTGCTTTTCAAGTACACTATATTAAACTTACTGGGGATAACTTCTCTTCAAAACTGACTACCAATAAATCTGACTGCTGTTTTCTGTACGAATAGATAACCCCTGCCTGAACTAAGAGTATAAACCCTCCTGCTTGCCTAATTGTGAATAACTGCCTCCTCAAAGAAACACAAGACTGCAAGAAGGGACACCTGTATAACCCAATAATTTAACGGAGGAGGTGTTTCCAACTCTACTTTAAAAAGAACTCCTTTCAATAAATGTCTGTTATCTGTTCTAGGTCTTACACTTTTCATGGGCTAGAATGCTTCATCTTTTCGTCAAAAGTGCGGCAGCAGGCGGTGGCTGCCAAGGCGGGTCACTGGGTGTGAGGTCCTAGAACTTCAGGGAAGCCCAAACACATGGGGGACGGAGTTGAGAAGAGGAGCAACTCAAAACCAGGAGTTCCTAGGACACCGGAAAGGAAGAGGGGGAATAAGTTGGCTTGGGCTGCACCCGGACGTCAGGGGGCCGGGCGGAGGGGAGTGGTCAAGTCGAGACCAGAAAACTTTGGGCAAAGCAAGGGTTGAGTCCACCACCTTGGCCCAGGCACCGAGCAGGATATTCCCTCCCGCCCCGCAGCCTGGCCAGTACTCCACTCCTTACCGTCCTGCAAAAGCTCCCGCACTGTCGCTGCAGCCGCTCCAGAACCCAGAACCCCAAAGCCAGCCATAGTGGCGCCGCTGTCGCCACCTTCCATGTTGGCAGGTACCGGGTTGATGGCGTCAGTGAGAGGAGGTCCCGCCCAGGTTGACGCAGAATCCTGGCGCCGCCCGCCTTCACAGACCGCGGCTGTGGCCCGCCTGGTAATCCAAACGCTGCTCACGCGGCTGACAGAGCCTGGCTGGGAGTGGTGTGGGAACCAGAGCCCTCGTGCGCTGAGGACCCGGTGCTCGGCCACGCAGTCTAGGAAGCCGAGTCCGCCCCGGGCTTATTCGCTGTCTCCCTTCGCAGTTCGGAGCCTCGCCCCAGAGGCTGGAGTTGTTCCTCAGACTGAGGAGAAGGTGGGCGCCGGAACGTGACCGTGGCGCATATTTTAGAAAGAAAAGATAAAGCAAGTATTAAACCTAAGAACCCGGGCCTTGCGACGCAGGGCAAGAGACAATAGTGGATGTTTCTGGGCGCTTCGCTGGCACAGCACACTCTAGGCAGGCGGGTGTTAGTAACTGCCCCACGCCTTGATTGGCAATCCAGGGATAAAAACAGGCGGGAAAAGCTTGGGAACGAAAGTTGCTAAAGGGTGTTCTAAATTATTTTGTAAATCTATACTCATTTAATACTCGTAACCACTCAGGTGAGCTAGTCTCACGCTACTGCGCATTATCCTTTGACTTGACTTTATCTCAGAGGGTTTTCCTTAATATAATTTTATCTCAATTATACGAATGGGGTCAGTGTTCTGAGTGAAGGTCACATGAATTGCCTGGGGCAGTGTGCTCAGTTTCACATTATGTTTCATTATCCATAAAAAACCAAACTAGTGTTTTGGCATGTCCCAAACTGCACTATTTTTTTTTTTTTTTTTGCCTTATGATCATAAAGAATAAAAATACCAAGTTATGTTTTGAAGTGCTATTTAGAGTTGTTCTTATAATGGCATTTAATTTTCCTGAATAAAACAGGATATTTCCGAGTACCAGACATACACAGTATTTTGTAGGAAATTATTCAAATCAAATGCCTTGATTTATCAATGCCAAAGAAAATAAAACGGAAAAAAATAATAAAAGTAATATGGTATACTAGAAAAAATCTTGTAGTTTTTCTATCTTGTTTTTCTACAACTATCTCATGTAGTTTTCAACTTTGATTTATCTTAGAAGTAGAATTCTGTGGTATTCCTTTTCTATTATTTATATTATTTTTTATTCTTTTTAGATATACATGACAGTAGAATGTATTTGACATATTATACATAATGGAATATAACATTCTACTTCTAAGGATCTCATCCTTGTGGTTGAACATGATGTGGAGTTATACTGTTCGTGTATTCATATGTGAATTTAGGAAAGTTGTTAGGAATCATTCTACTTTCTTTCCGATTCCCATTCCCCCTCCCTTTCCTTCATTCCCCTCTGTCTTACCCAATGAACTTGTTTCCCTACGACCACCACCTTATTGTTTGTTAGCCTTTGCATATCAGAGAGAAGGTTCAACCTTTGATTTTGGGAGATTGGCTTAGTTCATTTAGCATGGTCATCTTCAGTTCCATCCATTTACCAACAAATGCCATAATTTCATTCTTCTTTATGGATGAGTAATATCCCATTGTGTGTGTGTGTGTGTGTGAGAGAGAGAGAGAGAGAGAGAAAGAGATAATCTATTTAATAATATGAAAAGAAGCTAAAACAAATTCTGATCCCACAAACCTAATGAAAAATAAATATCATTGGCAATTGAAATTTAGAATGATGAGAATTCACCTAGAGAAAGGATATTCCAAGTGCAAATGGATTGTCTTTTTCAGATTTGAAATAAATCTATATTCATGAAGTGTGACTCCATACAAACCACAATATGTCAAGAAAGAAAAAAAGATCCAATAGAAATGTTTCATTCTGGGCAGCTGGTGAAAATCTGTGCCCCAATGGTTCGATATTCAAAGTAAGTGTTGTTAAATGTTAATGAACTGAGGCATAATTTCCCTTTTTCGTTCTGCCTTTTTTAAGTACTGTAAGATCACTATATGGACTCTTCAATTCCTAGTTTTGGAATCATGATCTAGAAATGAGTCCTGGTGGCTAGTATATGTGTGTGTGCACATGCCTGAGCAAATCATCTAAAAAAAGTGTCACATTTTATGTTTTTATAAATGGTGGCATTTATAACTCCCATCTATAAGGTATAGTAGATATTAAATGGATGTAAACATTTATGCACAGGTTTTTGTTTGAATATGTGTCTTGAGACAAATGTATAAGAATGTAATTGCTGGATCATAAGATGTTTAGTTTTTGAAAAAACTGCCAAACTTTTCTAGAGTAGCAATACTATTTGACCCTTCTACCTAGCACTATATGAGAAATCCAGTTTCTCCTCATTCTAACCTACTTTTGATAATAGCAGTGTTTTGGTTTTTTGTTCTTAACTGTTTTAATGGTATATAGTGATACCTCATTGTGTTTCTAATTTCTACATGTCCTGTATGTGATGTTAAACTTCTTTCCATGTGCTTATTTGGCAACTGTATAGTTTTGAGGAAATGTTTCTTAATGCTTTTTGCCCATATCGTAATATTGCTCTTTTATTCTTGTGGTTTTTTAAATTATTATTAAATACATATAATATTTATCTTTTTATAATTTTTATGTGTAAAGTTCAGCACTGTTATGTTCCATATCATGCATCTGATCTCTGAAACTCTCTAGTCTTAAAAAACCCTTAAGCAATAACTCCATTCCTCTCCCCACCTAAACCCTGGCAACCATTATTCTACTGTTTCTCTACTTTTTCTTATGATTCTACTTATCTGAAGTACTGTAGGTGGAATCATATAGTTGTTGAGACTAGTTTTTTTACTTAGCATATTTTCAATATCCATTCGTATTGTAACATATACCAGATTTTTCCTTTCTTTTTTTTTTCAAGGCGTGGGGGGGGGGGGGGGGGGAGGATACCAGGGATTGAATTCTGGGACACTCGACCACTGAGCCACATCCACAGCCTTATTTTGTATTTTATTTAGAAACAGGGTCTCACTGAGTTGTTTAGCACCTCGATTTTGCTGAGGCTGGCTTTGAACTTGAGATCCTCCTGCCTTAGCCTCTAGAGCTGCTGGGATTACAGGCATGAGTCACCATGCCCAGCTCCTTCTTTAAGGCTAATTGTATGTGAATGCTACATTTTCTTTGTCCATTCATTGATCGATGTACAGTTGGATTGCTTCCATATTTTAGCTATTGCAAATAATGCTGTTATGAACATGGATGCACAAATATCTCAATTCTTTTTGGCTATATATATCAGAAGTGGAATTGCTGGATCACATGGTAATTGTGTTATGCTTTTTGAGGAACTTTCATACTATTTTCCATAGAAGCCATACCATGTTACCTTTTCACCAGCATTACACAAGAGTTCTTAATTTCTTCACACCCTTGCCAACTCATCATTTTCTGGAATTTTCAAAACTTATCCTGTCCCATCCTACTGGGTGTAAAGTGGATCTCATCGTAATTTTGATTTTCATTTCCATAAGGTTAGTGACATGAGCATCTTTTCTTATTGGCCAATTGTATATCTTTATTGTAGAAATATCTATTCAACATTTTGCCCATTTTTGAATAGGGTTTATTTTTTTTAATATTTATTTTTTAGGTGTAGATGGACACAACACAATGCCTTTATTTTTATGTGGTGCTGAGGATGGAACCCAGGCCCTGCCCATGCTAGGCGAGTGCTCCACCACTGAGCCACTATCCCAGCCCCGGGTTTATATTTTTGTTTACTATTAAGTGTTGAGATGTCTTGATATGACTTCTTTGTCAACTATGTGACTTGCAAATATTTTCTCAGATTATATAGTTTATTCTCTTTACAGGGTGTTTTGCAAAGCAAAAGTTTTTTATTATGATGAAGTCCATTTTATCAGTTTTTCCTTGTATAAATTTTGCTTTTGGTGTCAAGTGTAAGGTATCTTTGTGTAGCTCCAGATTCTGAAGATTTTCTCCAAAGTTTTTTCCTAAAAGTTTTTTATAATTTTATGCTTTACATTTAAGATCATGATTCAATTGTATTGATTTTAGTGTAAGTGTGAGAGTTAGATAGTTCTTTTTTTTTTTTTTTTGCCTAGAAATGTCCAGTTACTCTAGCCCTATTTGTTGAGAAGTGTATTTTTACTTGATTGAATTACTTCTGCTACGTCACTAAAAAAAAAATCAGTATTTTGTATTTTGTTTCATTGATTTATGTGTCTTATCCCTTCACCATTTCCACAGTATGTGGATTATTTATTGTAGCTATATAACAAGTTTTGGAATCAAGGGACTGATAACCTCCTGATTCTAGTTGCTTTGCTTTCCACTTAATTTTAGAATGATCTTTGTGTATTTACAAAAAAAAAAAAAATCTTGTGGAATTTCCATAAGAATTGAATGAAACCTACATATCAATTTGAGGAGAATTGACATCCTATCTATGTTGAATGTCACAATCCATAAAAACGATGTTTCTCTTCATTGATACAGATTTTCTCTGATTTCTTTCATCAGCATTGTGTGGTTTTCAGCATACAAGTTCTGTACATCTTTTGGAAAACTTAGCACCAGTTTTGTTGTTGTTGTTGTTGTTTATGGTATTATTATATTTTTAATTTTGGTGTCCATGTGGTCATTACTAGTAGTATATAGAAATACAATTAATTTTTGTATGTTGATCTTATATCCTACAAAGTTCTTGAGCCCTCTTCCTAATTCTGAGAGTTTGTTTTGTTTGCTATTTGTAAATTCCTTGGGATTATATAAACAACCGTGTCATCTACAAACAGATTTAGTTTTATTTCTTTCATTTCTTTCCCATGCCTTATTGCACTGATCTAGAAGTTCCATCTCTACGTTGAATGTGAGTGATGAGAGCAGACATCCATTCCTTTTTCCTATTTAGGAGGAAAGTGTTCTGTCGAATTTTTTGTGAATATTCTTTTTCAAGTTAAGGAGTTCCCCTCTATTTCTGTTTTTCTGAGAATTTTTTTTATCATGAATAAGTGTATCTTGTCAAATGCTTTTTCTGCTAAACTCATAATTATGTGTTTTTTCTTTAGCATATTAATATGATAGTTCATACTGATGGATTTTGAATATTGAACCTTCTCTAGCAGGGAAAGGTGGGGAGAAGGGCATCATCTCCTTGCTGTCAGTAGTAAGTCTAGGTTCTTGGCCTCCTTGTTGCTGTAGGAAGGCATGAGAGTTCCAATTCCTTTTGGTGGGGGTGGCCTCATAACTACTGGGCAATACTAAAAGTCCTGGCTTTCCACATGGTCTCTGACAACACACCCAAGGAAGAGAGTGCCTTATTACTGCTGAGTAAACATGAAAGTCTGTGCTCCTCATGTGGTCTACACTACTACCACTAAAATTGGGGCCCTCACAGGTCAATAGGGATGAAAGTCTCAGATCCCTACCAGGTCCTCTTGAACACCACCACTGTGGGATGTTGGAGCACCTTGTTACAACATTGGAGGGGGGTAGAAGTCCCCGTTTGACCTTTTCTAGTGGAGGTGAGGCCATAGCTTTCTTCTATAATGTTTGATTGAATTTGAACCATTACCATAAAAAAGTTTTGTGTCATGCTTGGCTTCCCCTTTCCTAGTCTTTTAACTAGACGGACTTCTGTAGGCTATTCAGCACCCACTGGTGATTCCAGATCAGCTTCTTCAGTCCCAAGGCTGGGGTATTTGAGTTTATAAAACTGAAGGAGCTTACCACCTCTTATTTTAACCTGGCAGCCTCTTTTAACTTTTCAGAATTTCCTGTGTTTATTTTACATATAATATAAAGGGTTTTTAGATATATTTAGTAGGAAGAATAAGAAAAAATACAGCTACTCTGTCTTCTCATGGACAGAACTCTCCCTAATAAATATTTAATAATCAACTAAATTAAACTTATAAATAGATATGATTATTGGTGTTTTCTAAATGCATAATTTAAGTTTTATATGCTCACAGGTTGGCTTTTAGAACACTAGTAAGAAAATACTGTTGTGATCTGTGTTATACACCAATGATAGTTGCCGCTGATTTTGTCAGATCTACAAAAGCCAGAGACAGTGAATTTACCACAAACCAAGGTATGTGAAACCCATAGTTTGTTTACTTTGTAAAACTTAACAAAAAAAATTTTGTTTGTAACTCAGCTACTTATCTAATCAGACACAACCTATCTTAGTTTATATGATAAAATCCTTTTTTTTTTAGTTGTATTTGGACACAATACCTTTATTTTATTTATTTTTATATGGTGCTGAGGATCGAACCTAGGACCTGGCACATGCTAGGCACGTGCTCTACCACTAAGCCACAATCCCAGCCCCAAAATCCTTTCATTTTTAAATGCCTTTAGTATTTTATATATAATACAGAGTGCTTTATAGGTTATTGGTGATCTACCAAAATATATGGTCAGCCTTTCTTCAGGTGTCCAGCCTCTCCCCTGGACTATCAGAATAGATCTCTGTCTTACAGTCTATAGTGTTGTACCACTCCAAACTATCTCCATACTGCTCAAAGTGACCTATCTAAAGTGTCAATTTGACAGCATGAACAACAGTAAGATCTTGTCTCAAAAAAAAAAAAGGTAATGAAAGTTTTTAGGCTTCACCCCAGTCCTACTGAATCAAAAACTATGGGTATGTGGTCCTGCAATCTATTTTGAAAAGTGTTCAAATAATTCTGAACTTGCCAAAGTTTGAGAACCCTTGACTTAAAGACTAAAATTTCTGCACCTGAGGATAAGATGCCAAGTCCTTCATGACCTACTAGCCTGTGAATAAATCTTCTGCAGCCTTAACTTCCATTAGTTTCTTCCCCTAGCCCACAACTTTATTCTTCAAAAATACTACATTAGGGTTGGGGTTGTAACTCACTGGTAGAGCACTTGTGTAATATGTATGAGGCTCAATCATCAGCACCACATAAAAAAATAAAAAAATTTAAGTTATTGTGTCCATCTACAACTAAAAATATTTTTTTAAAAAAACTACATTATTTTATGTGTCTGAATATACCTTGTTCTCTCACACTTCCCTACCTAGAATATTGCACCTGTAATGTTAGTGACTTGGGAGCCTAAGGCAAATTACAGTTCATGATTCTTAATTCAGTATTCAAAGTTTGTAGCCAGGGAATCTTTCCTAATCATTCTCCACTTGTGCCCTATCTCCTTTTATTGCACTTAATCCTACTTTTTAAAATATATTCATTAATTGTGCTACTCTTTCCCACTAGATGATGGGTTCTTTGAGGGCTCAAGCTATAAACATAGCTTGATGTTTGTCCTCAAGAACTAACACAATGTGAAATCTGTTTGCCCAATAAATGGTTGTTAAGTTGAAATTCTATAACAAAGTAGAAAAGGGAATAGCACCCTATGTCCACATGAATAAAAAAGCAGATTCTACCCCATCATAATTACAAGTCAGTGGATTGCCCTAGAGATCTTGAATCAGTACAACTATGGCGATGTCCAGAAATCTGCATTTTTATAAACACCCAGTGAATCTTATATTGGTAGTCCTCAGAAAAATTTAGATCTATTCAGAGTTTATCATGGTCTTTAAAACCTAGGAAAGCTATGATATCTTTAGCTACATTAAAATTTAAACTTTTATATATAATATACAAATAGAGATAAAGAACTAGAAAAATAAAAACACTCTGATTAATAATAAGACTAATTTATTTTTTAAATTACAAATGATAGTAAAAAAGGAATAACTAATAGAATTACACAGAAAAATTTACAAACATGAAAAGAGCTCACAAAGATATACAAATGTTAAGATAAGCACTGTAGGATAAGTTGTGAAGAAAGAACCATATTGCTATGTATCAGTACTGATAAACTCTTGCAAGATAATTTTGTAATATCTGTCAATGTTAAATGCCTATTCAGCAGTTATACATCTAGTAATTTATCCATTCTATGAATATTTTCACAAAAAAACATAAATGCAAAACTATTCCTATTGTAGCTGTATTTGCAAGAGCCACAAATAAGAAGCAATCTAAATTGTGTATGGTTCATCTGTACAGTGGAATATTAGAGAAATTACATCTGAGTACATATCCCAGATCAAGAAAAGTAGAGTGGTAGCATAGCAACGTATGTGGAATTGTTCACATTGTTTGGTTTACATATAAAAGGTTTACATATAAAATTGCTGAGATATAATAAACTAACTCCCACATTTAGGAAGTGGGTCTTTTCGTCAAAAAGTACTGGAATACTTTTAATTTTATCTAATTTTGTGCTGTTTGAATATTTGTGTAAATTTATTTCAATTTTAAATAAATCTTTTTGAATATTACCTTATTTGAATAGATGTTCCTTGTGCTAAAAATATTTATTGCTATTTTATCCTGTACAAACATTAGAGTTTCCTGTGTGTGTATGTGTGTGTGTGTGTGGTTTTTTCCTATGGATTTTAATGTTGAGCTATTCGTTTTATCAGGTGATTGCCCATTGATTGTTCAGTTTGCTGCCAACGATGCCAGACTTTTATCTGATGCTGCTCGTATAGTCTGTCCTTATGCGAATGGAATAGACATTAACTGTGGTTGCCCTCAGAGGTAAAGCTCAAAGAAGTTGGAAGAGTTTTCAAAAAGATTAGAAAAAACTTTATGAACATGGTAAAATTTCTTTCTAGTTTTCCAAAAATTAAAAAGTAAGAACATAGAATTAAACTACCAGGATTCTACAAAAGAAGGAAGGAAAAAATATTTAGGAACATAAATTCAAAGATCTATCTGATGACTGAAATGATGTGTAGACCCTTGAAAAGTATTTTGTCTCCCCTTATCAATAACATTTTTGTGTAGATCTGCTTGAACCTTATCCAAAATTATATGAGAAATGTAGCGGCTACAATAATCCCTAAAATGTATTTTACTATCATGTGATATATATTCTTGCTCTAAAAAGTGTTTCTATGATTTGATAGAAACTGCCTATTTTCTTCTTATTTTCCTTAAAAAAATACCTTATTATAATCATTCTTTTCTTTTTTTTTTTTTTTTTCCTTTCTCATGCCAGAGTTATTTGGTTGGGTTTAAGTAACTGGATTTGAGTAAGCTGTACTTAACTTGCCAACAGTATCCCTACTGTACTAGCTTATCTGTCAATTCAAAATGCATCCAAATAATTAAATCAAGTTTTTAAGTACATCATAATCCAAACCAGATTAGATGTATTGTATACTCATTAGAAGAGTTAAAGAAGCCAAAAATTTTGAAAGTTAATAAAACCTCTTGTTATGTACAATAAGCATCAAATTTGGTATTTAAAATATCTGAAGTAATTGCAGTTAATTACAAATATTTTAATCTGTTTTGGTTGAACTAATTCTAATTTAGTATTCTGATTTGCCAACGGAAACTATTTCCCTGGAGTTGTTTGGTTTGGTTTTGATCTGGGAACATGTTTTCCTTATCATTATATTTTTTTTTCCCATAGGTTGTTTTCCTAATCTTATTGATCTATGAGTTTTTAAAATCTGATTCATTTCAGATCACTAAATAAAGAAATATACAAATACATTTACATTTCAGTGCTTTTTAAATTTTTAACTTCTCTTCCACCTGTTTGTAATTCATTTGTTATTCTGTTTGTTTTACGAAGGTGGGCAATGGCAGAAGGTTATGGAGCTTGCTTAATAAATAAGCCAGAGCTTGTTCGAGATATGGTGAAACAAGTAAGAAATCAAGTGGAAAACCCCAAATTTTCAGTTTCTATTAAAATAAGGTAAAGTCAATATTTTAGTCTGTTGACAAAATAATCTAATGATTAAGAATTAAAAGAATATTTCTTTTGTTTGGTGATTTGGGAGTATCTGTCCTAAATAAATTGGTAGTTGGTTTAGGAATTTTTGAAACAATACATTTAGTAAACAAATATATACCCTTCTGTTTATAATCCTGAACACCTTTTTTTTTAACAAAAATTAAACCTCCCTTTATTAAAAGATTTCACCATTCCCTCAACTTTTTCCAAGTTTTCTTTAATTAACACTAAAGAAATATTCCTAGCACCAAGAATAAAAATGAAAAGATATTTGCACTAAAATATTACAATAAAAATAAACTACAGTAATGTGTTTTTGGTGAAAAGTTAAAAACATATTTAACAGATAAAGTAGTATGTTCTTCCACTTGTTGATTGGGGCATTCATATCAAATCTTGACCCATTATGTTCCACAGTCCTATATAAAATTGAAAACTTTGGACTTAGTGGTTTAACATAGCATCTTTCACTTCATCTATCTTAGTATTTTGATGACTCTTTCATTATCAAAGCCAAAAAGGAGAAGCAATAGGTAAGATAAAACTCATTTGTTGTCCTGTTGTTGCCAATGGCAAAGTAAATAAATTTGAGGTCTTGGCTGGGAATAATCCCTGAAAAGATCCTTCCTGATAGTGGCATGACATGATAACATAACTAAACAGTGTAGTATATAAAATACCATTTTTTTAGTGAATTTTAGTATTAAGATTTGTTTGATATGAACAGATAGGTGTAATTTTGAAATTATAGGATCCATGATGACCTTACCAGAACCGTAGATCTTTGTCGAAAGGCTGAAGCAACTGGAGTTTCCTGGATTACAGTCCATGGAAGAACTGTTGAAGAAAGACATCAGCCAGTCCACTATGATGCCATTAAAATAATAAAGGAAAATATGTCTATACCTGTAATTGCTAACGGAGATATCAGGAGTTTAAAAGAGGCTGAAAATGTGTGGCAGATTACTGGGACAGACGGTAAGAAAAAAGTGCTTTGTTTATCTTTTAATGGGGAAAAAAAAAGAATAAGGTAGTAATGTTAATTTGATTTTCATTATTTTCTTTTAATATTGGGCTGCATTTTCCCATCATACCGATTTAAGCTAAGCAGTCTATTAAAATGCTATTCATTCTCCTGCTTAGAAACTATATTATTTTAATGGGGATAAATTAAGTTACTTGTCTTCCACCATCATATCTAGTGACTAATTAGGAATTTTCCCAATAACCTATTATTAAAAAAAAAAAAAGCATCTGGAATAGAATGGAGTTAATAAACTCAGGAGTAATCAGAGAAGCCAAAGGAACCCTATGTGGTTTCATTATCCTTTAAATTATTGGTATACCAAGCCAAGCACTGTAATAATTTACTATAGGGGAGAATGCAGATAAACTTTAACTGAAAACCTTCTGATTTATGACACTGTGGGTTTACCCTAAAGAAAAATTAAAAACTAATTTTGTAATGTAGAAGCCTTAAAAAATGAAGAACTTAAATATATTTAATTTCATTCATTTTCAAAAGGTACTAAAATATTTTAAATTATTGAATTAAACAGACTAATGTAAATAGAGCATTGTGAAAATCTTTAGTCATAACTTGTTTTTTAATATTCTACGTTTGTTTCATTGAGTTTGAACTAATAATCATGGGCGCTTAAGGTATGGACAAACATGGTCTGCTTTAATTTGTAGGTGTGATGGTTGCAAGAGGACTCTTAGCAAACCCAGCCATGTTTGCTGGATATGAGGAAACCCCATTGAAATGCATCTGGGACTGGGTTGACATCGCTCTTGAACTTGGAACTCCTTACATGTGTTTCCATCAACATTTAATGTACATGATGGAAAAGATAACTTCAAAGCAGGAAAGAAGAGTATTTAATGCACTGTCAAGCGCATCAGCAGTCTTAGATTACCTTACAGAACATTATGGCATTTGACTGGACTTCCTAAATTATATTAATATATACTCTGTTTTATACTTTATAAAATATAAGGTTGCATCTTTGTTTTTACTTTAAATCAGTGGCTCTAGGTCCAAACACGGACAAACTGTTTAGAATCTTGTTATGGTTGGAGGAGGAGGGTTTCTCTAAAGGAAATGTTTTTAACATTTTTAAATAAAAACTTTTTATTTTAATACTAACAAGGTATGACTTATATAATATTTGTACCTTAACAAGGAGTACATTTTTAATAAAAGTAAGTGCAGAGTTCTGGTAGAATAAAAGCTAACATCATATAAAATGAACAAGAAACTCTTAAATAGAATTATTCTCAGGGCTTAACATTAAAACTTTAAATTGGAATGTCAAACTGGTACACTTCCTAATTGAATTTTACACCTCAAGATATTTGTTTTAAATTGTACATAACAAAAATTTATTAGATATGTTATCTGGAATTTAGAACTAAGATTGCATGGAATTCTAATTTTTTATTTTTAGCTATACATGACAGTAGAATGTATTTTGATATACATATGTAGCATACAACTTCCGTTCTGGTTGTATATGATATGAAATTAAATTGATCGTGTAGTCAGATGTGAACTTTGGAAGGTAATGTCCGATTCATTCTACTAGCTTTCCTTTTCTCATTCCCCCTCCCTTCATTTCCCTTTGTCTAATCCAAAGTACTTTTATTCTTCCCTTCTTCCCCCCCACCTCATTGTTAGTTATGTGGATACATATCAGAACATTCGACCTTTGGGTTTTTTTGAGATTCTCTTATTTCACTTGGCATAATAGTCTCCAATTCCATTTACTGGCAAATGTCATAATTTCATTTCTCTTTATGGCTGAGTAATATTCCATCGTGTATATATACCACATTTTCTTTAATCCATTCATTTGTTGAAGGGCACCTAAGCTGGTTCCATAGCTTAGCTATTGTGAATTGAGCTTCTATAAACATTGATGTGGCAGCTTCACAGTAATATGCTGATTTTAAGTCTTTTGGGATTTATACTGAGAAGTGGGATAGCTGGGTCAAATGGTGGTTCCATTCCAAGTTTTCTGAGGAAATCTCCATACTGCTTTCCAGATTGGTTGCACCAATTTTCAGTCCCACCAGCAATATGTGAGTGTACCTTTTTCCCTACATCCTTGCCAACATTTTTTGTTACTTGTATTCTTGATAATTGCCATTCTGATTGAAGTGAGATGAAATCTCAGTGTAGTTTTAATTTGTATTTCTCTAATTGCTAGAGAGGTTGAACATTATTTCATATATTTGTTGACTGATCGTATTTTTTGTTCTGTGAAGTGCCTGTCCAGTTCCTTTGCCTAGATTTCATGGAATTCTTTAATATTAGACTTTGTGCATTTAAGCCTTCTAGATCCTTAGAAGATTGCAAATTCGATAAACACACCTGAATCTAAAAAAATAAAGAGTAATTGTGTCCCCTCACATCTTAACTATAAAAAAAAAAAATTGGTAGCTAATGATTACATATCTCCAAATAGTATTTATCCAGAGAAATGATATATTTCTCTACTATTCAGTAGAGAATAGTAGCCAGATTTTAATTTTAAAACAACTTTTCATATTTTGTTATTAGTGACATTATTTTTATGCCTCTCTGTAATTGATAATTGCAATTTAAGTTCCCATGTTTTGAGAGTGTTACTAATAGATTTTGTTATTGGTTAATGTGAGCTACAGAAGTATTTCAGTGAAAATAATTTATACCTCAAATATTCTTTATGCCCAACACAAAAATTAAGGAGTTCTCTAAACCTGTTTATTCATTAATTCGAGTTTGGGAATATTAAATGAATCAATTTGAACATGAACACTAAACTGCCACATTTTTTCTTCTGTGCTTTCACTTCTCAGTTACTGAAATTTTAATAGATAGAATAGAAATAATATATTAGCAAACAGGGAGATATATAACATTTTGATGTCGGTAAATTAACTTTGGAGTGAATTACACTAATGTAAGCACAGCAGCACCACTAGAGTTAAGATGCACAGCATAGGGAAGGTACCAGTGTTCCAAGAGTCAGGTATTGGGTTAAAAATAACTTCCTTATGGTTAATTTGTGTTCAAAGTCCTCCCCCCACCACTTCTTCCTGTTTATATATGGTCAAGTCTATATGTAATTAAGGAGAAGCACCGACTTAAATGTGTTTGTACATTGTGTAATTAATTATTCTCAACATTTGTTTAATGGTCCCAAAATAACTGTCTCCGAGAAGTGATACTTTATTTATATTCCTGATACGTTGTCAATACAAAAAAAAAATCTTATATAACTCGAATGTTTTTCAGGCAACTTGAAAACCTGGGAAATGTATAGTGAATAAATACGGCCACCTTTTCTGGGTCCCCAAAGAACACCTCAAAGGGTATTGCCTTTTCCTAGACCATGGAAAAGAACCGGGACAGAATATGTTGTAATGCTACAGATTCTCCTGTGGTTTCAAAAACAATGCTGCACGACCACCCAGTCTTGGCCCTTGTACAGTTTAATTCTGGACACTTGAAAGTTTTAACCTCCGAGAGAGCCCCAACTGGAAAAGAGTTCGCCGCAGACACTGGGTTTGCGCAGCCCACTTTAGTGGTTTCCAGATCTGGGCCTTCGCCGCTCCTCCAGAAACGGTGGCGCGCTGCAGAAACGCGAGCCCGCCCTCCGGAAGAAGTTGCATTTGCGAGCCCCGAGCCTGAGTGGTCTTAGACTCCATCGCCAATTAGGAAACAATTATTACCAACAAACGTGGCCTCGCCGCCGGTGACCTTAGCAGGACGACAGCCTAAGGCAGGGGGAAGCCGGTTCGTCAGCCGCTTCCCACTCCCCCTTCCCTGCCCACCACTTCTCTCCCCCTCCCCCTCCTCCTCCCCGTCGCGGCGTCTGACGTCCCGCGCGTCGGGGCTGCGGAGCTGCGCGGAGAGCCAGACGGGCCGCAGCGCGGTAAGGCCGAGTAACACCCGCGGGCCGCGAGGCTGTGGGCTGAAAAACCCAGCGGAGCCGGCTGGCCCGCGGCTTTCGGAGGGCGGGAGGGCCACAAAGCATTAGAGGAGGGAGGCGTTGGGCTGTTGGTGCAGCGGCCGGCCAAAGAGGAAGTCATTGGCGCCCTGTGGCCGCCTCTAGGGTTCCGCGCGGCCCGCCAAGGAGGTGGACACGCCCGGGCCGGGTCTCGTCCGGTCTAGTCCTGTCTCTTCCTGTCCGGTCCATTCCGAGGTGTGTGCGGGGCCTCGGTACAGCCCTTTGACGTAGCTGTGTGCCCCGGGGCCTTCAGCCCAGTTTTCTTTCAAATGAAGTAAAGTAAAATAAATGTTTCTCCGTTCAGGTGTGAAGAAAAAAATGACAATCCAATGGGTGGCAGTTGCAACCTTTCTTTATGCCGAAATAGGACTCATTTTACTCTTCTGTCTACCTTTTATTCCTCCTCAGAGGTAGGAAACTTTCAAATCTTAAAAATACTAAATATTGGATTAGCTCCTTTAGGCTGCAGTGTGATACGGAAAGGTTTTCTTAAGATTGAAAAGTTTTCAGAGCCCGCTGTGCAAAGAGTATTCTTTTAAAAACTTACTTAACAGATTAGAACTGTTTCATGACAATATCTATTTAAAATTTATAAAACTTTATTATGTGTACAAATGATAATTTTTTCCTCCCTTCTCAAAGGAAAGAAGCCGAGTGCGAGTACTTCTGATTCTGTTGATTACATACTTTTGATACTTGCCCTGTCTTGTCATGAGGTTTTACCTTTGTTTTATTGCCCTGAATTGAAGCAGTGGAATAAAAAAATTATATTTACAATACAGCATGTATTTTAAAAAATGTTAAATTGAGGCAGTGGAATGGCAATTTAGAAACCAAAGCCTGTAAGTTCTTTAGTTTTGGCCTTATGTAAACTGTATAAAATGATGGCATTTTATTACTTTTTATTCCACTCAATGTATTAAAAGGGCCAAATGTGAAAGCTATCAGACAATGTATTAACATTATTTCTTTAGTAAAGGACCTTTTAAGATCTTTAAGAACAGAAATTTCAACCCAAGCGTTAACACACTTTACCTTTAATAATCTACTCATTAGGGGGTTAGTTTTAGATCCAGGAACTTGATGGTATGGATAGTAAAACAGATTTGTAATAAAATGTTGCAAGATATTTGTTTATACTCATGACTTACAAGAAAATATTTCATAAGTGAGATCCTAGAAATATCTTCTTAAACTACACTGTAGTAAAATAATGGGACTCGATGAAGCTTTAGAAAGTTTTACCATGGCTCGAGGTCTAGGTAGTCTTTCACAACTCTTTACTTGCTCATTATCTACGTGGTTCAACTCACTTCTGTCTTTGCCTATCAACTATATCATTGTTGTTTTGTTATTGATGTTTTTTTTTTCCTTACTAAAGAAAAAAATCATATTGTAAGTGGGGAGGGAATCTTCAGTTATCTCATCCAACCCAGCTCATTCCTTAGATCACATACTGAGACCCAGAGAAGGCAAATGGCCTAACCAAGATCACCTACGTGGTCAGCAGCAAATTCCAAACAAGAATCTTGCTTTCAGTCCAGTGCTGCTTCTTCATCATACTGCATCTCATTTTAAACCCTCCATAATGCCTCTTTTGATTTTTGTTAGTATTTGCATCAATGGACTCCTATATATTCAAACTTTGCTTCATTTATATATACAAGAGAAAGATCTTGTTTGGGAACATCCAATATACAAGTAAGGCTTGAAGATTTGCAAAGAAAAAAAAAAACAGTGCTGCTTCAGTTGATCTTTCTCCATCAAAGTGATTCATAATTGGAGATCAGCCTTTTTCTTTCTTCCAAATATTTTTTATATCCATCAGGATCAAGTAGCTGTTACATTGATGTGGGTGTTTGGGCACATGATATATAAATATTCTCATGTACAAATACACATAAGAAAATATGGCATATTTACACACAAATAACTTATACTATGTCCCTTTTCTTTGTGTATACACATCTTTTGACCTTTTATATGTGTATCTTCATAATCTTCAACAAAAAAGTTTTGGTCTTTTCTCATATAACCCAGTCATAAAAGGCACAGGCTCAAAATAACTCCCTGGGTATGTATCCCAGTTCTCTGGTATTATTTATTAACTGTGTGACATTGGGCAAGTTATTGACTCTCTCCAGCT